AGATGATGCATCATTCCTGTTCTAAATATATATACATTCCTAGATCTCTGTTCTCCTTCCACTACACTACACTACGGGGGCAGCCTTGAGGTGGCAAACCAGACTCCCAGAGAGAACACTTGACACCTGAATCTCTCCCAAACTACATACCAGGCCTCTACAATAGGCATATTATTTCAATAACTGATGTAACCAGAAACTCTTGGATGTGTACAGAAATAGAGCCTTTGTTAACCACAGTAACTGTACTAGGATCAGTTTTTACGTGGGGAGGGTTCCCTATTAAAGGGGGAGGGCTCCTCTGATGCTAATAAAAATGTCTATGCTGTAGAAATTGCTTGTGAATAAAATAAATTATTCAAGCTTCGGAAATTATTGTGATCTGTAGACATATTAATGGAGATGTTGAAAGCCCGAGTGAGTACTCTGCGGCAGTGCTTTCTTCCCTAGAAAAATAGGTGCCGGTATTCATCGTGAAGCTGTTACGCAGTAAGTCCCACACTTTTTAACAAAACAAAAAAGAAAGGTGCTGGTACTGCATACCATCTAGTACCCCCCTTGTGGGGGGAGCACTGCTCTGGGCCCTCTGCAGAGATGACATAGCAGTGTCACAAGCCTCCACATGTAGAGATGGCTGGCTTGGCAAGTGACGGAGACCCAGTTCACACTTCACCTCATCATCTTGGGATCCACTTCCCCTACAGTGACTTCTTCCCACACGATTCCAGCAGTATGTAGTACTAGCACCAGAGAGACCCATGTTTAAATGGCCACTCAGGCATGAGCACACTCAGTAGGTCAAGGGTTCCCCAACTGGGGCTGTGAGATTCATTCTGTTGGTCTATGGCACATCTGTGACCAGAAGGGAGTTGGCAGTCATGATGGGAGAAGTAGAAGTGGCCACCCACTGAGTTGTTAATTTAAGTGGATGATTGACAACAAAGAAAATTCTCTGCGCATATAGACCAAGTTGCAAACAAACAACAACAAAATGGAAAACAGCTAAACTAGTAATGTCTTGAGCAATATATAGGAAAGCAACTGAATTAGAAATGCCTTGGGTAATTTATTAGGACACTTGTTTTGATTATCCCAAAGTTAAAGAGGCAATTACAGGGCAAACCATTTCCAGATTCAAAAGTCCTGTCCCAGCTGGACACAGAATGCCACCATTGTTGCCCAAATATATGTGTTCTACTGAGTGCATCTGAAATAATTTTACCATTCTGCTAAAAGAGAGAGAAAAGTGGATTTGAGCACCAAATTAGCTTCAATAACTGTAAGTTATTGATTGTAGATAACGCCACAGCTCCATTAAAACTGCAAGTTTTTATCTGATGTTTGGAGTGCGGCAGGAACAAGATGATCTCTCCCATTCCAATTAGTTCAAAGATAAAGGAATCTCTCCCATCAGCCCCGGTAAGACAATTAATATGGGGGAAAATTAATATGGGGGGAAAGAATGGTCATCTAACAGCATCTAGAGGGCCACAACTTCTCCTTCAACTTCACTGGTATCTTTTCCTCATTCAGATGCAATAATAATAATAATAATTATTATTATTATTATTATTATTATTATTATTATTATTTATTATTTATACCCCGCCCATCTGGCTGGGTTTCCCCAGCCACTCTGGGTGGCTTCCAACTGAATATTAAAAACAGTACAGCATCAAACATTAAAAACTTCCCTAAAGAGGGCTGCCTTCAGATGACTTTTAAAAGTAAAATAGTTGTTTATTGCTTTGACATCTGCTGGGAGGGCGTTCCACAGGTCAGGCGCCACTACCGAGAAGGCCTTCTGCCTGGTTCCCTGTAACCTTACTTCTCACTATGAGGGAACCGCCAGAAGGCCCTCGGCGCTGGATTTCAGTGTCCGGGCTGAACGATGGGGGTGGAGACGCTCCTTCAGGTATACTGGACCGAGGCCGTTTAGGGCTTTAAAGGTCAGCACCAATAAAACATTGATAAAACATTCAAAGAAATAACCCGGACATGACAGTACAGATGGAAGCATTCAGGCCTGGGATTTGCAGTGTTTAAGTAACAGAGGTTGATAGGAAGTTGCCAATACCCTGAGTTAGACTACTGGCCCGTCTAGTCAGCCATGTGTACACTTCTTGGTAGTGGTTGTTCTTCAGGATTTCAGAGTGAGTTCTTTCTCATCCTTACCTGGAAATGCCAGAAACTAAACCTGGGACCTTCTTCCCAGAAAGCACACAGAGCCAGAACCTTTCCAACATTAGCAGGGACTGTGGGCTATTTTATTTGCTATAAAGTACTGTATCTATCTATCTATCTATCTATCTATCTATCTATCTATCATCTATCATCTATCTATCTATCTAATCTATCAATACCTCTTGCAAGCATTGCTCAAGATGCTACACTTGCTACCCTCACAGATGAAAAATCACAGCATGGGAAAAACTGGTGTTCATATCGACCTACATTTATTTTATTTTTTAATTATCTTCACTGATTTTTTTTTAAAGTATAACAACAAACATACATATCCTCAACCCTGCCTGCTCCCTTTCTTGCTTTGAATGCGTAAGTGATTTCAACCACAAATTCAGCGCTGACATTTTACATCTCCATTGCCTCCCTTTTCATAGAAATGGGCATCACCAATAGACTAGAAGAGAAGCAAACCTATTTTGGACTTATAAGTAGACAAACATCCCTAGTATTACAGTTTTGTTTGCTTGTTTGTTTTCTTGCAATGAGGAGCAATGTAGAACCACTCTTCAACGAAACTGCTAACATTAAGAGCACCTACTCTATAGAGCCCAGGTTCAGTTTTTGGCATGTCCAGGTAGCGCTGGGAATGCCCCCTGCCTGAAACCCTGGAGAGCTACTGCCAGTCAGTGTAGACAATATTGAGCTAGATGGACCAAGGGTTGGGAGAATCTCTGCCTGCAGGCATGGAAGTAGATGGAGGTTTATGCTAATCCTGGTCTGTGTTTGCTACTACTTGAACCTTCATAATTATGTCAGCACCACGGACCAGGGTGCCCTTGCCAAATAGTTCTGGCACTTCAGAAACCCATTAGCGACTTTCGAAAGCCATCGCCGCTGATGTACAAAGGATTGCAGATCTCGAAAGAGACGGAAGAAGTCCGCTCAATTCACATTAATGGGTACTGACATCAGATGTCTCTTGGCTTTGTTTAGAACTAGCTTTGCTTGCCTGAAAGTTAATTGCTTGGCAGATTTGAATAAGCAGGAACTTTAAAAATGAGGTCGAGGGGACCCCTCAGTTTTTCCTTGTAGTGTATACAGAGTGGACACTCTGCATTTCTGGGAAAGGAAGCAAAAACATTCTTTGATAAAATGCCTGTGAAGGAATTCAAGTTCTTTTAGCCCAAAAAATTCTCATTTGAAGAGGGGATTTCTTACCACGGCATAACAACGTGCACCTGTATGTCATAAGACTCAAAATATAGTAAAAAGGAAAAAAGGAAAAAAAGGAAGCTCTAGGACAGGCATCCCCAACCTTCAGCCCTCCAGATGTTTTGGAATACAATTCCCATCATCCCTAACCACTGGTCCTGTTAGCTAGGGATCATGGGTTGTAGGGATCATGGGAGTTGTAGGCCAAAACATCTGGAGGGCCACAGGTTGGGGATGTCTGCTCTAGGACATAATCCAAGAGAATTGCTGGTTTCAGTATGTAAGGTTGTATAAATATATACCTCAAGCTCCAGTCAAGGGAATAATCTCCCAGTTCATTCACTGTGAAGTAAACACATTTTAATAGTTGAAATAGCTCACCATATTTCAGTATTTACACTTCTCAGACACACACACACACACACACACACACACCATGACCACCCAGATGTCTTCAAGAAGTCCATGAGAACAGCAACAATGGCTACAGAGATGGCAAGACTCTGGTTGTACTTGGGCTTCTGTGATGGGATCTTTGAAGCCAGAGAGTGGAAACGATAAGTCCGTGGGCCAGGGAGCAATGACAATATGGGTTTGTCCTATCTGGGGCTGATCCTGGGTGCAGTTCCCCTTCTGACATGGAGTCCACAACCTCATCCACTGAAGAAGGAGCATCTGCCCCCAGTGTCATCACACTCAACACATACTTCATCCTCCCTCTAGGGAGGAATTGTCAGAGTTCAAGGACACATTCCAGCCAATAAAAGAAGTTGATATGGGAGCAAAGGTGTGGGAAGAGCCCCAAAGAGGCCACATTTAGCTCTCAGGCCTCAGGCTCCACATCCCCGACCTCCAATGTACCCATGCTAATGCCTCAGAAATCTGCCCAGTGGAATGAAGCCCATGAGTTTCCATGGCGACTGCTGCAGAGAGGGATCCCATGGACCACCTTGATGCAGATACCCTCCCAATTGTATGTACACTTTGGGAAGGGGCAAGCATGGGCCGAACACCCATGGCCCTGTACTCCCAGTTCGCACAGTATTAACTGAATGTAAGTGAATGTCTGAATAGTGGACACTCGTTCATTAGGGTGAATGAGGCACTGATCTACCCACCTCAGTCTGCTCTTACCCCCTCATACCTGCTAACTTGCCATATATCTCAGGAGAGGCACCCTTATGGAACTCAGCAGAGAGCAGACCAGGGACAAAACAAGAATTAGGCCACATTCACACCATGTATTTAAAGCACTGTTATGCCACTTTAAACAGCCATGGCTTCCCCCAAAGCATTCTGGGAGCTGCACTTTGTTACTGGTGTTGATAGTCGTCAAGAGACCCAAATTGTCCTCAAAGAGTTACAATTCTCAAAATAGTTTGAGAGACAGTTCCTCTTCACAGGGAACAACTTTGTTATTGGGCATGTTGTAAGACTTTTGAAAAAGCAACCAATGTTGAATCTAAGGAGCAACCATACAAAATGCCTGAGAGAAGAAAACGGGTGAAAGCAAGACCGGAAACTATTTCAGAGTTCTCTGATTCGCTCAATAATTCACACTCCTTTTGCATGGAAAATACACAGCACAAGAATCAACAAGGTTAAAATAAAATAAAAAGCCTCTCACTTCAGAGGGGGGAAAGAGAGGAGGATTTTTATCTGTGATTTAGTATGTTACAAATAGGTTGTACAAAAAAATACTGAATTAATTTTCAAAATACCATTAAAAATCTTTGGATGCTAATTCCTGACGCATTTTAATTTCTTTCATGAGTCACTTCTACAGCCAGACCATTACTGATTGTCACACTGGAATAATTAATTTCATTACTCTACTCCGAAATCAAATTAATACTGAATAGAAAATATTATTGAAAACAAACACTGAGAACAATAGTCCAATCTCTCAGTCTCTCCCTGCATGGTTTTTCTTATTACACATGGGGTAAAAAGAAAGAAAGAAAAAGAAGTCAAATATCCAGAAAGTGCTAGAAGGTCCCTTGGATGTGGTGACACTTCAGCCTGAGGGCAGCTTGGTTTTTCAAGACTACACATCTGGAGGAAATCCAGAAAAGCCACATGAAGGTTTGGCATCTGCGACCTAGTGGCAAAACTACATGATCTACATTTAATACAGAGACAGCTAGGTAAACATCATTTGTCGTTTGGAGGCTTCTTTCTAGCTTCCACGTCTCTCTTGATGTCTTCAATCTTCTTTGAAATGTTCGGAACCTATTTGAAAGCAGAACAGGATATCAGAATCTTCTACTGTTCACAGAATTCATTGTCTGTAGCATGGCGATACCATCATTAGGCCAACCAAAATGTCACAAAGCGGTGAGCAAGCTTTCCATTTATCTTCATCAGTCTGTGTGGTAAGAAAGGCTGGGTGTTTGGTGGGTGGGCAGGGGTAAGAGAATTATTGTTTGGTTCTGAAACCCTACAACAGAGTTTCTGTCTCTCTTTTGTTCTGGTGTTCTATACGTAGTATACTTAGTGTTAAGGTTTAGACTTAACTTAAACTTACAATAACTTATAATAAGTCTGCTGCAACTGGATTTCTTATGAACAGTGCCAATTCTGAATGTATTGGATTTGTGACCATTATGCTCATTTGCCTTCAGTAGCAGTAAAGCTGTATCGGATGAAATACAATTGCCTCTGGTCTATTTTGGGGGAATCCTGCAATGTGTTTGTGTTGTTACTCCGCTAACTATACGTTGGAATCTGCTCTGGATTATATTGAGTAGTATTTCAATGACACTGCCAACCTTTTTGGGCCAGTGGAAGCACTAGGATTTTGAAAAACTGCTCTGGGCACCTGTTACAAAATGGCTGCTGTGGAGGCTGCATCACACAAAATGGCTGCCAACTCTAAAAGGGCAGAAAAAGATACTGCACAAAGAAATGTTGTGGACCTGCCCCCCCTTCATCAATTGTGTGAGGGAGGAAGCACCTACATCAGGTCCTGGTTGTGGGCTTCATCTCGTTGGGCCACTGTGAGAACAGGATGTTAAATTACATAGACCACTGGCCTGATCCAGCAGGCCTTCTTATCTTTTTATGTGTGTTAGATAAGGGTCAATGCAGCTGACTCCGGTTTTTGGGCTCTCCAAAGGGAATGGATATAGGGTCTGTCATGATGGGCTTCTGCACTTCAAAATTTGCTGATAGACAACTGGTACTGACTTTTAAAATATATCAGATTAACAAGGAAACAGGACAGAGTGGATTTCTAAGTGAACACATGAAAATGGTATGAACCAGAATATGGAACTGCCTTCCCACAAAACTGCAACCCCATAAACAATGTTAACAGAAGCTTAGCAGTAGGAAACTAGCAAAATAATACTTACATCATAGTTCTGGGCCAGATACATCCCAACTACATTGCCAAGTGCAAAACCAACCTAAAGAAGAAATAAAAAGGATAGACAAGGATTATACTTTTCTCCCATCTGGTGAATGTGCTTAAGGATATAGCTTCTCTTCCATTAAGCTTTTTAAAACAAAAAAACAACTTTTTGCCAGTTTCAAAACAAACCTGATACTCATTAAAGTGTTTGTCACATTCTCAGCTGCTGGTTTTTGCCAAGTGGTTTCTGCTGCTCATAATGCTTGCTTCGGAAGTTAAGCTACGTAGCAAATACTGTAATTAATTCCTTCAGTCATGATTTTCAGTACAAATGCAGGAATTTTGGGAAATTTCAAACACTTCCTAGCACTTGACAAGCGCCAGGGGATTTTTTTTCATGGGAGTGGTGATGTTATGTAACATGCTAAAGGCATGGGGGGGGGTCCCCCTCCTTCTCCTTACTGCCATTGCTGCTTGCAAAGGAGAAAGTGAAAAATGGCTGCTGCTTCCTCTTTGCTGCAATTGCCTCTCACCAACTCATCCACTCGGGGCTGGAGCAGAGGCGATCAAAGGGGTGCCAATAATTAAACTGAGGGGTAGTAGAGCTGGCAGGGTCTCTATGGTGGGCCTCTTCCTAGGTCATGGACCTTGGTGGATGTCCAACCATGCCATGCCCTGACCCCTGACACTGCATCCAATATGACTGCATGCCCACTATGAAATTGTCATAGATCTAGGATGGGGAACCACAGACTCAGAGGCCAAATGTGGCCTTCAGGACTCTCCCCAGGCTGCACATGTCTTTCACGGGGCACATCCTCCTTGAGTATTTTTGCCTGGCTGGAAATTTGCCACTAAACATCAACAAGGTCTCTTGGTTTCCTGGAAGGAAGGCGGAGAAGTGTCTGTACACAAATCGACTTTTGTGTGGTAGAAATGCACAAAGGTTTCATCCACTTCTCTGCCTACGTTTGTATCCGCTCCCAACCACCACTGGTATATGGCCCCCAAAAGACTACCCATGAAGAAATGCGGACCTCAGGCTGAAAAAGATTCCAAAACCCTGACTTAAGACAGACTAAAGGTTTATCCTAACCCAGCAGTGACCACTCTAAGCAAAAGGGTTTTTGTTTTTCCCAATCCAGCATCTGAGAGCTTGGGCCTCGTAAACCTCTTCCATCTGGATGATAAAGTCCTCAAATCTTGCAATGTTAAATGGATAAATAAATGTGTCGCCAAGTGGTGAAAATATTTCAATGCCTGTGGTTGCTGGTTTAACCACAAGAGGATCTATTTTTCAGCCACAAAAGAAATGCAGATTTTATTGCCAGTGGGTGTAGAAAGAGCTGTGGAATAAAAAAATATGTACAGTAAAGTTAAAATTGCCTTAAACAATTAAACTTGGAAAAGTGGGGACACTATTTCAGGAGCTGAGAATTCATATATCACACTTTGTAGGAGCTAGTCAATCTAGTGCTTGCAATAGGAGAATAAAGCCAATTTCGGATTGTGTGCGCCATGAAAAATTCAGTTTCACAACCCCCTTTGGCCCAAGGTCACCCAGTAAGCTTCATGCTGCATGGGGTTTTGAATTGTGGTCATCTGGGTCCTGGTCCAGCACTCTCAACCACTACACCAGATTGGCTTGAAGAAATTGTAGGTTATAAACCATACATGTTACCCTCACGCTAGGCACCTAAATGCCTCTCCAGTCATCATCTGAGAAGAACAAGTATGCAGTGAAGTCCTCACTGTTCAAGATTTTAGGGATTGGGGTTGGCAATAGCATCTTAACACGTGGGTGGAAGGAGAAGAGTAGGCTAGAGGAAGATGGGAACTTCTTTCTGCCCACATTCACTTGATTGCATTGTGCTGCTTCCCCTCTGGAGATTCTGGTGCCACCACTTCTTAATCTGCTGCCATTAGGTCCTGGGAGAAACTGCCTTCAAATGGGGTTTCTTCCTACCTTGTTAGAGTATTAGTTCTTCCAGCAAGGAATGAAGTGGTCATCCTCCAAGTCCTTGGCAGAAGTGGAAGAACAAGAGGCAGGATTTGGGTCAGAGGAGAAATAAGGGGAGGTGACAGGAAGTGTGCCTCCTCTCCCAACAATGCCTCAGGGCAGAACAGATTTTTAAAATGTCAGATTGCTAGCAAACAATCTGCCTAATCCTTAAATCTTGCACATAAAGTTGCTTGTGGATTGGAGCTTGGTGTTCCAATATTGGAATGCCAACTTTAAGAAATAATAATTAAGTATGACTTGTTTCCTAATGAACATCCGGCTACTAGGCAGCAAGTATGCAACAGAATAATAAAGAGAGCCGTTGTCTTCTGTCATGGTCATAAAACACATTATTTTGGGGGAAATACAGTGATTAAGAAGGTTCTATGGAAAATTAAAAGCTGGTTGCTCACTTTTCCATACCATCAGTTATTAACTTAAGATACGACTTTTCGGGAGGATGGTACGTTGCACTTATTTTTGTCAATTGGCACATTAACAGGCAACATTCTTGTTATGGATTTTCTTGTACAGGTTACATTTTACTTGAAAAGCTAACAAAGCTTCCGCCCCCCCCCCCACCATGTGGGTGTTTTGATATTAATTAATTAACACATGCTACATGCAGCTAAATAGTATTTAATACTAATTTCAGTGCTACACAAAGATAAACATGGTCTAATACTCATTTCAGTGCTGAACGTCAAACAAACAGGTTGCATGGCCATGTGCTTGATAATAGCTCCTATAAAATTGTCTTGTTTTTTTTTAAAAAAAAATGAGTTTGTATTACATCCATTTTATTTTGTGTAATATGATAAAGGTAAAGGGACCCCTGACCGTTAGGTCCAGTCGTGACAGACTCTGGGGTTGCGGCGCTCATCTCGCTTTATTGGCCGAGGGAGTCGGCATACAGCTACCGGGTCATGTGGCCAGCATGACTAAGCCGCTTCTGGCAAACCAGAGCAGTGCATGGAAATGCTGTGTACCTTCCCGCTGGAGCGGTACCTATTTATCTACTTGCACATGCTTTTGAACTGCTAGGTTGGCAGGAGCAGGGACCGAGCAACGGGAGCTCAACCTGTTGCGGGGATTCGAACCGCCGACCTACTGATCGGCAAGTCCTAGGCTCTGTGGCTTAACTCACAGCGCCACCCGTGTCCCATTGTGTAATATGTTATTTTATGCATATATGCTGCTTTTGCTACCCTTGAAGATGCTCTGTCTGTATATGTATGAATGAAGCCAGTTTGAGGACGGTGCCAGAACTTGAGCCTGATTGTCCTGCTACAGCTCTCGAAAGACACCCCTAGTGGCTTGCATGGTCTGGAGGTCACTTAGGAATCACAGTCTCAGGACAGTCCAGGACACAATGGCCAATTTCCAAACAAAAAAAGCCATCCTCTTTCATACAGCAAAACCAACACTCTTGAGTTTCAAAAGTAAAATAGGTTGTTGTTTTTCAAGTCACTGGCTTCTTTTTACAGTCACATTAAACAAAGAACATTGCCTTGTTTATGATTTGCTGGACTCCGCTGCATATGAATGTGCCGTCACAAAACACACAGTGTACCCCAAAGTTATTTGCCGCATTCCTTGCTCTGAAATAGTGCAGTGCCTGAAACAGGCCAAGAGACATTTAGTCTAGCTGGAAGCTAAGACATCATTTGCATCCAACTCTTCTCAAAAAATGCTTCACATCGGCACCGTATCTCTTTTAACTAACATCCTAACAAGATTTCCATCTCATGATCCAGCTCCATATATATATATATATATATCCCTACTCTTAATCCAAACTGCTTCTCCTTGCCCATCCAGCATTTCGGTACATCTGTCCTAATTTATCTTGGTTCCAACACAGTCATGCTTACCATTCCACTCTTAGAAAACAGATTTATGGACCTCAGTGTCCTGCTTTGCTTGCCATGTACTTGCGGGTATCGAGGGGTGTGGTGTGGGAACAGATTGCATCTCAAAAGCCATACCCACTCATTCCTCCTTCCCCCCTCCCCCTTTGCTTTCAGGCCAACAGAACATAAAATGCGTACCGGCACCATTCCATCGATTGGTGGTCGGAAAAATTGACTGCTCTGAGGCAGTTGCTGGAGCATGTCAACGGGCAAAGCTAACCGCAGATCAAATATCTATATGAGAACAACATGGTCTCAGCTGGCTCTGTCTATTTTAGGCGTGGGGAAAACTTTGGCCACCCAGATGTGGCTGAACTACAACTCCCAGCAGCCAGGGAAGAGGGGAATTGTTGTTCATTGACATCCGGTTTATTTGGACACACCTATCTTCATGTTGAAGGGACGCAGGTGGCGCTGTGGGTTAAACCAGAGCCTAGGACTTGCCGATCAGTAGGTCGGCGGTTTGAATCCCCACGACGGGGTGAGCTCCCATTGCTCAGTCCCTGCTCCTGTCGAAAGCACATCAAAGTGCAAGTAGATAAATAGGTACCGCTCCGGCGGGAAGGTAAACGCTGTTTCCGTGCGCTGTTCTGGTTCACCAGAAGCAGCTTAGTCATGCTGGCCACATGACCCAGAAGCTGTACACCGGCTCCCTCGGCCAATAAAGCGAGATGAGCGCCGCAACCCCAGAGTCAGTCACGGTCAGGGGTCCCTTTACCTTTACCTTATCTTCATGTTAAGTCAGCTAGATCAGGCCAGTGGTTAGTTTTGGCCCAGTTCTCCATTCTGTTAAGGCCACCTTGCATCCTAATTCTGTCTTCCGTGGCATTCTGTGTCAGGTGAAGCCTGATAACAGAGCCTGTGGGTGGGGAGAGGGGTGGTGTTTCTATTTGGCAAGCTGCAATGCTTTGTGCAGATGGAAAGTTCATCACAGCACAACACTGAATCCCACCCTCAGAGTTTAGGGTAGTGGCAACCATGCACTCTGGCACATTTATTTCGGAGTTCATAAAAGGTCAGTTCCTGAAGCAAAATACCCTCCCCCTGTGGGGCCTACACACAGCTCATTTCCCGATATTTTAAAGCACTTTTTACTTGCTGCGGCATCTGCAAGTGGATTTAAATAGTCTTAGGAGGGAA